GGTGCCCCCAGGTGTGCCCAGGTGTGTTGGTCTCCCACCCAGGTGTGTCCCAAACCCCCTTTAACCTCACCCGGCTGTGCCCAGGTGTGTTCAGGTGTGTTCAGGTGTGCCCCAAACCCCCTTTAACCTCACCCAGGTGTGTCCCAATGGATCCCAGGTGCCCTCAGGTGTGCCCCAAACCCCCTTTAAACCCCTCCAGGTGTGCCCAGGTGCCCCAATAGATCCCAGGCGCCCCCAGGTGTGTTGATCTCCCCCCCAGGTGTGCCCAGGTGTCCTTTAACCTCACCAAGGTGCCCCCAGGTGTGCCCAGGTCCCCTTTAACCTCACCAAGGTGCCCCCAGGTGTCCCCCAAACCCCCTTTAAACCCCTCCAGGTGTGCCCAGGTGCCCCAATAGATCCCAGGCGCCCCCAGGTGTGTTGATCTCCCCCCCAGGTGCGCCCAGGTGCGGCGCTCACCGGCTCGTTGACGCGGGGCACGAACACGGCCAGGAAGAAGACGGCGGCCACGGGCGGGGCCAGGTACGAGGCCAGCGCCTGCATGTAGTCGAAGAGCTGCCCGCCCCGCGCCGCCTCCACCACGGGCAGCCAGGCCAGGCTCAGCCCCACCATGGCCACCACCCACAGCCTGCGGGGCACAGGTGGGGCACAGGTGAGCTCACCTGGGGCCACGCCCAACCTCACCTGCCGGCCAGCAGCAGGTGCCGTGGCCCCGCCCCCGGCCGCACCCTCCTGTAGACGTCGAGCGTGAAGAGCGCGGCCGAGCTGGCGAAGATGGAGGCCAGCGACGACATCAGCGCGGCCAGCACCACGGCCAGCATCAGCCCGCGCAGCCCTGGCCCGGATCGTTAATTAATGGTTAATTAATAACTAATTAATAACCGTTAATAGCGAAAAATGGGTGAAAAAACGGCGAAAATCGGCGAAAAAATGGATTTATTAGCCCCAAAATTAGGATTATTAGCCCCAAAATTAGGATTAATAGCCTATTATTAGTCCTAATAAAATGTTCTTATTCAAAGTAATTATTAGTAATTAGTTAATAATGATTAATGGTGAAAAAATGGCAAAAATCGGTGAAAAAATGGATTTATTAGCCCCAAAATTAGGATTATTAGCCCAAAAATTGGGATTAATAGCACATTATTAGTCCTAATAAAATGTTCTTATTCAAAGTAATTATTAGTAATTAGTTAATAATGATTAATGGTGAAAAAACGGCGAAAATCGGCAAAAAATGGATTTATTAGCCCCCAAAATTGAATTATTAGCTCCAAAATTAGGATTAACACTCTTTTATTAATCCTAATAAAGTGTTATTAGCCACAATAATTATTAGTTGTTAATTAATAGTAATTAATGGTGGAAAAATTGTGAAAATCAGTGAGAAAATGGATTTATTAGCCCCAAAATTAGCATTAATAGGCTATTATTATTCCTAATAAAGTGTTATTAGGCACAATAATTATTAGTTGTTAATTAATAATGATTAATGGGAGAAAAATGGTGGAAATTAGTGAAAATATGACAAAAAATCAACAAAAAAATGGATTTATTAGCCCCAAAATTAGGATTATTAGCCCAAAAATTGGGATTAATAGCACATTATTAGTCCTAATAAAATGTTCTTATTCAAAGTAATTATTAGTTATTAGTTAATAATTATTAATGGCGGGAAAACGGCAAAAATCGCAGAAAAAACGGTGAAAATCAGCAAAAAAATGGATTTATTAGCCCCAAAATTAGGATTATTAGCATAAAAATTAGGATTAATAGGCTGTTATTAGTCCTAATAAACTGTTATTAGCCACAATAATTATTAGTTGTTAATTAATAGTAATTAATGGTGGAAAAATTGTGAAAATCAGTGAAAAAATGGCAAAAATCGACAAAAAATGGATTTATTAGCCCCAAAAATGGAATTATTAGCACCAAAATTAGGATTAATAGGCTGTTATTAGTCCTAATAAAATTTAATTAGCCACAATAATTATTACTTATTAGTTAATAATGATTAATGGTGAAAAAATGATGAAAATCGGCGAAAAAATGGCAAAAATCGACAGAAAAAATGGATTTATTAGCCCCAAAATTAGGATTATTAGCCCCAAAATTAGCATTAATAGCCCATTATTAGTCCTAATAAAATGTTCTTATTCAAAGTAATTATTAGTAATTAGTTAATAATGATTAATGGTGAAAAAACGGCGAAAATCGGCAAAAAATGGATTTATTAGCCCCCAAAATTGAATTATTAGCTCCAAAATTAGGATTAACACTCTTTTATTAATCCTAATAAAGTGTTATTAGCCACAATAATTATTAGTTGTTAATTAATAGTAATTAATGGTGGAAAAATTGTGAAAATCAGTGAAAAAATGGATTTATTAGCCCCAAAAATGGAATTATTAGCCCCAAAATTAGGATTAATAGCCTATTATTAATCCTAATAAAGTGTTATTAGCCACAATAATTATTAGTTGTTAATTAATAGTAATTAATGGTGGAAAAATTGTGAAAATCAGTGA